TCCATTAAGGAGGGGTTAAAAGACCTCTCGGCTCCTCATCCAACAGAAACTAGGCTTAGCAGAAATGCCTGAAAATCTAAAACGCCACTAAGTTATTTATAGCTGATGCTATGTATTTTTGTGATACCATGATCCCTATGTCGTTTTTGTCCAGGTCTCTGTGACTTCCCTGTGTTACTCATATCAAAAAAGAAGTTCTGACCTGTAGCACTGGCCTGCAATAGACAAGTAGACGCCATTAAGCCTTCAGAAACAAATACACAGAGATATATTCTGAAAGTTTGTGAGCCAATAGTCTACAGTGCAATCGACCAGTACCCCTAAACGTGTCCTAAACTATTGAGCATGACGAGAGCTCGCCTATGTGTGGCCGTACCCTTCCCCCCCCCCGGAGAAACAGAAACCTCTCGGTGAGAGGGTACGACTTAACGTAGGCTAGACGAGAGCGAGGAAAAGTTAGGTGGATTCTCCGTTCCTGTAAAGGATTTGAGCCTGTCTCAAAGTTACTAATTTGGCGCTACTGGGCGCATTGGAGCGAGTTCTGTCAAAGCCTGATTTTTTTCCTGACTTCGTTACTGAAATTTCTCAAATTGCAACTCGTCTACCTACCTGTTTTTCATCTGCAGGTTAAAATATTGACAACTTATTTTTTTAGTTCATTGCGTAAAGCGTATACTGCAGTCACTTCATTACTTGTGAATATGCTACCACTGAAGGTGCCTCTCCAAGTCCCTGAAGATTTCACGCATTACAGTCTAACCTTTACTTTATTGTCCAGAATTGTTTAAAGGGTCACCTGAGACTGTAGATTTGTTTCTTCGCCAGCTGTGTTCACATTGCTGCCACTTGAAACTTTGTTGTAAGGACACTCAGTAACATCTGATGGCTGTTTGACAAGTTCGGTTTTATCCATGGACACTAAGGGCACTATATTGAACGCGTACATGTACTGCAAGATATAAAAGAACAAAGGGAACTGAATTGTGACCCAGTCATGGTGAATACCGCAAACAACATGTATTTTATTCGCTAAAACTTGCGTTGCTCAAACTTGCTGCAAGTCTTTAAATGAAAGTATATTTCGTACCCCAATGCTACCTCGCTCAAGTGAATAACTGTAAAGCTATGATTTCGTATACTAAGATTTGAGGTTATTAGACAAGTAGAGGAAGAGCGGGGCACATTGTAGAGAGAGGCTCAAATAAAGGTGCTCAAGGTATATGTCTGTTTGTTTCCCTAACGTATTGATTAAGCTGTATGCACACCCGAACTATCAAAGGGTATTATGCAAATGATAAAGTATTTTCACGTACCTTTTTTTTGTCTGGATTACCAGCTTGAGCAAGGGCAATAAATCGTGTCACATGCTGTGCAGATTCCCTCAACACTTGGTGATTCCTACAAGAACAATTAAAGTGAATCGCGAAAAAATCTACACAGTTAAACTTACTGTGTAGATTTCTTCACACTAGTACCGCAGAGGTCAGTGGTTCGAATCCCGTACAGGCCTGAGTTTTTTCAGGTCTGATTTTCGCTATTGCATAAATAGCGCTCTCTACTGCGAAGATCGTGCATCATACGTATCTACAACCGCAGTTCAAAATATATGAACTTCATATATTCATCGTATCTGATTTATCATCACGGGTTTATTACGAATCAACTTAACGGCCTGCTCCCAGTTGGCTTGTTAGCTCAATTGGTAGAGCACTGCACTAGTAACGCAGAGGTCAGTGGTTCGAATCCCGTACAGGTCTGATTTTCGCTATTGCATAAATAACGCTCTCTACTGCGAGGATCGNTGAACACCATCGACTTACCAACCACAACATTGACTGGGACTCTGCGCAATGCCTAACCTACAGCACTGACTATTTTCAACGACTGACTCTGGAAAGCTGGTTTACTAACTTAGAACAGACTCCCCTAAACAGATGTCAACAACTACCCGCTCCATACAAACGACTCATTCACGACATAAACATCACAAACGACCGAAAAAGAACGACCTAACTTTACCGACAGATCGAAACAGACCAATCACGACCGACTTACGTCACTTGAGTCTTACAGCCAATAACATCACGGCAAAACCAACCGATCATTTCACACGAACTGGAATAAGAACATTCTACTGACAACAATCATTCACTTGACACTGATGACTTCCGCACAGGTTGTCGAAACGTCAGCCACTACCACCGACAACAGCCCTTCTCAGGACTACACCAACCCGGACGATCAGACTACACATGTTACCCCCGGGTTCAAACCATTTACTGCATGGTTCATTGAATATGCGATAAATACCAACGCACTTGCATCAGTTGCAACTATGGTTGGTTCTCGAAATTGTCTTTTTGAAATACAGACTGAGAATTATTAGTAGTATGTGACGATATGTGATTGACCCCTAGGAAGAGAATGCTCGGTTAGAGGAGGAGCGGCGTGCGAAAGAAAAGGAGGTTTGTTACCTTATGTCTTCATGTCTTTGTTTATCGATTGATCAAGTGGTTTTCTTTGTTACCGTTGTCTTTGTTTTGTCTCTTCACTTGTCACGTTTTAGGTGGGCGTTAACTGAAGGTCGCAATGTATTAGCATATAGGCCATGGGCCACTTTTAGATGGGTTATCTCCATCACTTTTCCAAAACTAACACTATTCTATCAGTGTCTCCCTTCAACCTCCCAGCAATGTCTGATCATTTCCCATTTATTCGTATACTCCAGTTCCCTTTAAAGAGGAAATAGATTAGCTTAAACCGTTTCAATTATAAATGTTTCAGATATCAATTACTGAATCTCGTATTGTGTCCTAGATGGAAATTCTGAAAGTTAAACAAGACGAAGATAGGAGACGGTTGGAAGAGCAGTTCAAAGCGGACATGGAAGCCCAAAGAGAGCAAATGCACAACATGATGACAGCAAACATGGAAGAGCTGCGAAAGGATCGAGAGGCAATTGTCGAGCAAAATCAAACCCTTAAGGAGATGATGGAGCAGATGCGGCAGTCAATGGATAAAAGAAATGACCAAATTGCCGAGCTTCAGAAGCAAATTCTTGCTCTAGCGAACAGGCCACCTCCCCCAACATCCATATCAATTTGTGTTATTTCGTAAAAGCACGAACATTCGGCCTTCCCCAGTACACCTAAAATTGCATTTATTCAAAAAGGGCGGCTGGTGATGGAATGAGCGACTACAACCACATAGGGAGCTATAAAAATCCTATAAGTTGCAGTAGAATGCCTGTGATATAAAAGGCTACTGTTAAAGTCATTAGATAAGTATTATTTAAGTTACTTGCAGTGATTTCAAAGCTTATTCGCCTCTTGAAAACTGTGAAGTATATCTATGTTGTAACCGACTTGATTGCATTAAACAAGTGTCAAAGCAAAAACGTCTGTATGGTTTTATCTCATGGTATCATAACTTAGAGGTATCGTTTGTATTACCAAGAAAAAGGAATGTTTGACTCTTGCAGCAGAAGGCAGCTGAACATTCCGCAAAAGCCCAGCAATGGTCACAAAAAACAAGTTTCATGTATCAGAAAGTCCACCGCTTACTAAGAACACAATAAGTCGCATAGAGATAATTTTTATAGCAAGCAAAGGCTTACACTTATGAAATGTCTATGCCAGTTCCTGGGTAAATCTCAGCATTGTATTCGAGAATATATTGCTTGAAAATAAACGGCTTTTTAGCATAAAGGAGAAGATGATAATGATTATTTTTGGACTGAGATGACGCGAATGCGAGGGAAGGTCTACGAGCTATTGTACAACTGTAAGAAAGCACACTAAAGGAGATAAAAACAAAATCTATTTATTTTAATCAAAACGCTACGAAACATCTTTTATACTAAGGCAACCTTTAGGAAGGGCAAAAACAACATCTCGAAGCAGCCAAACGAAGAAAGGAAAAGTCTTGTGAAAGGCTCTTGCATCATCATCTTCTATGGAAGTTTTGGCTTTACTGGACGTTTGACTTCCTGAATAAATTTGGATTCGCTGTGACAGCTTGACAATGTAGCTGAGAGTGTTTTGTACGTCAAGAAAGCCTCAAATGACAACAACAATGTATCATTATATCAAAAAACTAGAGTAAGAAGACATGCAGGGATTTGTGTCATCATTTGTCAACTCAGCACTAGTACCAATACAGGATTCAGACACTCCTTTTTGTCTAAAGACATGCTAACGCCATGACTGCCATAAACGCCATTTAATGACTACATGAAACGCGATATATTTCATAATGGACTTCAAGCTGATAAAAAAGAATTAAGAGCTTTCACTCTTCGNCGAATCCCGTACAGGCCTGATTTTTTTCAGGTCTGATTTTCGCTATTGCATAAATAGCGCTCTCTACTGCGAGGATCGTGCATCATACGTATCTATAACCGCAGTTCAAAATATATGAACTTCATATATTCATCGTATCTGATTTATCATCACGGGTTTATTACGAATCAACTTAACGGCCTGCTCCCAGTTGGCTTGTTAGCTCAATTGGTAGAGCGCTGCACTAGTATCGCAGAGGTCAGTGGTTCGAATCCCGTACAGGCCTGATTTTTTTCAGGTCTGATTTTCGCTATTGCATAAATAGCGCTCTCTACTGCGAGGATCGTGCATCATACGTATCTATAACCGCAGTTCAAAATATATGAACTTCATATATTCATCGTATCTGATTTATCATCACGGGTTTATTACGAATCAACTTAACGGCCTGCTCCCAGTTGGCTTGTTAGCTCAATTGGTAGAGCGCTGCACTAGTATCGCAGAGGTCAGTGGTTCGAATCCCGTACAGGCCTGATTTTTTTCAGGTCTGATTTTCGCTATTGCATAAATAGCGCTCTCTACTGCGAGGATCGTGCATCATACGTATCTATAACCGCAGTTCAAAATATATGAACTTCATATATTCATCGTATCTGATTTATCATCACGGGTTTATTACGAATCAACTTAACGGCCTGCTCCCAGTTGGCTTGTTAGCTCAATTGGTAGAGCACTGCACTAGTAACGCAGAGGTCAGTGGTTCGAATCCCGTACAGGTCTGATTTTCGCTATTGCATAAATAACGCTCTCTACTGCGAGGATCGTGCAACATACGTACAGTAAAACTTGTTAACGGTATACTGTAATTTTGCTGATCGATTAAGCAACGGACCAAACAACTGCTGCAAACTAAGAGACCTAAGTTGGTGCTAAGTATAATGCAAATTTCTAGAAATGATTTGTTTTTACCACAAAGAAGATCTCGGAAAAAGAATCCGAGGGAAACAATGGAACTTTTTCAAAAGAAGTTACAGGCCAAAACAAGATTTTCCAGAATATGGGGTTCAAGTCAAACCCCTTTTTGGCCAGCTCCATAACCAACAGAACACTGGTACATGCATATTTCATGTTAATTTTTTGAGGCTGGAGTAAAAAAATGTTTTCATTTAACTTGTCACACAGGGTTGGCGTTTGAACATATTGGCCAAATACTCTTCTCTTACCTGTATGGGGGTCTCTCATAATGTACTCCCTCATGACCAGCAAAATGGTACCTGGGCCTTAACTGTTGTGCCAGTCTGGACACCAGTGCTGAGCCACTCTTTTCAGGGTTAAATCTCTCCTACAGTTCATGACAATCAAAACCAATTCAAAGGGATATTTTCTACTTGTTGGCCCCTACACTGCCTAGATCTCATCAGGAATTCTCATTACTGTCTGCCATACAATTCTTATGATGTAAGTTCTGAAAATTTGGGATTTGATCAACATTATGTACTAAACCCCTGATTGATATTTTTCTTCATTCTTGTCACTTGTCTGCTTGATATTGTATTGATATTGTAAGGAGAAACTACGTCTTGGTCATTCACGGGAGTTACAGGGTTCGTCAGAAGTTTTAATTCCATTAAGGTCGTTGCAGAGATGATTGTTCTCCTATGCTTTTTATATCTTCTTTTTGAAGCCTTTGGTTGCCCTCACAATGAGGGGTAAAAGGATCACTGACTGTAAATTATTAAGCAAGTGTGCAATCATATCAGGTTTTAACTAGATGTGGACTGACAGAATTTAAAAGAAGAATTAGAAACCTAAAGCTGCCCGGCCAATTCTAAGATTTTTTTTCAAAGTGGGTATCACTCAATGTCACACCCATAATTCCCTGCATGTACCTATCTATCATCAGGGCTCGACACTAATGGTAGCCAACTAGCCACAGACTAATAGAAATTCAGTTTTGGCTAGTGGTTTTCGATTTCCACGAGCCAGTTTGGCTAGTAAACAAACTGAAATTGTTGTAACATCTAAGTTGTCACTAGCCACTTGGCTAGTGGGTTGAAAGTTAGTGTCGAGTCCTGTATCATAACAATTTTGACATCCTTACAGTGTTCCATTTTAAGTGGCTAGTTTTTGCAGGAGTAAAGAGTGTTTCACACTATTTAAATTTTGTCAAATTTGTAAGGTTTACATATTTTTGAAAAGATCATCTCACTTAGTGGGGATCGAGGGCACCCCAAAACCTCTCCCTTGCCAATGCCCCTAATGGAGAGAATGACACATTTCCTGAACTCTAATTAGCCAGTCAACATTTTTAAATTCTAATTTTAATGCATCTTTGACAATTAGTAAGTAAGTAAGTAAAAGTAAGTAAAACCTTTATTTAGACACGATAAGTATTGAAGCTGTGCAGCAGTAGGGTCGTGTATAAAATAAAAAGATACATAAACAATAGTTGTAATATAGTATAAAATAAGACTAAAATTATAGACCTAAAAATACTTCCTTTTGCAAGGAGCTAACAATTTCATTTATTTCATTATTATATTTAATTTACAATTAATATAATAATAATAATAATAATAATAATAATAACAATTGTAGTTATGATAATGTTGTTAACAATAATAAACTCACAGGCTGATTAGCAAAGTTGGACACCCCTCTTGGCCAACATGATGATATGAGAATGTCTAATCCTTTGAAGCTTTCATCTTGGCACTGAGACTCTAGTGACCCGACATCATCCACAGTGAAATGACATCCTTCCTATATTGAAATGGTGATAAGTTGTATCGCACATCAAGACAATAGATCAACAACTGAAACATCTTAAGGAAGGTGGAATAGGACAGAAAGGATGCCTTTTTTACTACCTTATGACATTATTCTTCTTTTCAGGCAGTAATGGGTAAAATTTATTGCCGATAGTTCCATTTATTATTGCCTAAATTTCCATGGAATTCTTGAACATTCAAAAGGCAAAAGGATTACTCTACCACTTTGAAAATTTCACGTACCATGACACTTAAAATAACAGAGAACACTTCTTGAATGCATATGCAAGTGCAAGCATGTATCATGTACAATTTGAGAAAGTAAGTATAGAAGGATCTTTCCTACGAGTAGTTATTTATAATTCATTGGTCATTACAAAAAAGACTTTCGGGCTTCTTGACCTAATGTGTTTTCACTGGCATGGGAAAAAACAGTGAAAACCACTATATCCCTGGATGTAAACATTGTATTTCCAATATATTCACAACTTGAAGGTTTCTACAGCATGCAGTGTACCTCGGGGGCCTCAGATTTTTCCAATCCACTCAAATATGCAATCTGTAAACCTGACTTTGTTTTCAAGATCCCTTTCCTGCCTGAAAAAGAATATGAGCAATAATACATTCAGTCTAAGAAAGAAAGGATTTTTATTTTAGATTTTAATACTCAATAGCAATGCTTGCTCAATGGCAATGCTTGACAGGCTTTTAATACATAATTTTCTCTACAGTTTAATATAGCAAATAAGTAAAAAAGGGATAAATTATTGCAGCAGCTAAAATAATAATTATAATAAATAAATATAATAATAATGTTTATTCAAGCCTTTTGCAGTCTGCAAAATGTTCAGAATGCTGAATTAAAGATTAGGGAACATCATGGAGAAGTCTTTTAAACTTGTCTGGGTCAGTTTACAAATGTGTCTGGAAAGTGTGTTAATTTGCTATTGTTATTCATTGCCAGAGCTTTGCTTTGTGTGCCATTGTGTTCTACAACAAAAGAGATGGGAATATAAAGCACCGGTGTGCAAGTGGGAAATTCGCAAAACAATTACGAAAATGCCAATGAATGCTATTGCATGCAAATTGTTGAACATAAGAGTACAGCATGCACAGTTTTCATAGGGAGGGGGAACTTTCAAAACTTGGATACAAATGTATTGCAATCACATTGCATGAAATACAACATGAGGGGAACTACACTATACTAAATGATTTACCTATACATGTATACATACATGTGTAGCCTACTTCACATAAGACTTACCTAAATAAGTTACATTTTCACACAACTCTCCACCATTCTCCAAGGAAACAGAAGAGTAGTAACTCACTTCCTGCATTTCAGTAGGTCCAAGTAGAAAAGTAGGGATAGGAACTGATATTTAGGAAAAGAAGAGTCTTAGTCATAATTATTCTGACTAATGGCTTAATAATACATTATATCAAACTTTCAGCTAACATTGAATGGTAAGCTACAGCTTGATATTTGTCAGATCAAACTTGGAAAAATTCTAAAATCTCAAGGCATAAGTCAACTGCATACTTACGTCAAATTTTCATATATCGTGATTGAATGTCTGTGCCCATTTAGTTCTCTATTAACCAGTTAATATGCAAAGGTATGTGCTTAACTGAAATTAAGGATTCAAGTTATCAAAATTATCCACCTGAATTGTTTCCTGCAAGATAACCTTCCCATTCTTTTTTAGATTCTTCACTTGATCCAAAGAAACTTCCAACACAAAGCAACATCTACATGAAAATGGCAAGATGTGTATTGGATTTGTATAATGACTAAGAGCACAAAGAAAAAAACAAAAACTGAGGATCTCACTTGTTCTGTCAGAAATAACCCAGCTCAAAATGAACTATTTTGTTCACTCCTTGTGGTAATGTAGGTTTAAAAATCTCTTGGCACCCTTTCTCTTCCTGTGCTAGTATTGAAAGTTGGTTTCTAAGGACATTAAGAGAAAAGAGAGAACCCAGAAAATAATAATGATTAAAAAAGTTGGGCAATGACGCCAATCATCAACCAATTGGACCCACACCTAAGCATTGGCTGAAAACCTCTGCACAACATCCTCATCATTAACAAATCAGTAGGACCTCTTAATTAAGTGGATGGATTTATTGTGGCCAATCTCTACTATGTCAGAGACCTTTGGTTACCAAATCAATACACATTGTCCCTTGAAACCATTTACCTCAAAATCCTTGTTTTTCTTGAGAATATTTTTTACTCGTCCAAACAGAGTGTTAAACTTTCCACAAACATCTCCACTAACAAGGCTATAAGGGAAAGAGTTCAGTGAGTACCGTAATTGAATTTTAGTTAAATTTGCTTTCTTAACCAAAATCCACTAGTTTTCCGAAGGCTGACACCTCCTAATCACATGACAAAATTTTGAAGATTATGCAAAGCAACTCTTTAAATTTGGCATCAGAATGCACATTCTCTCTACTGCTCACTTCACATTCATTATGGTGCTGATAAGGAGAATGTGTTAAAGTGCCTATTACCCCAAAAATTTTTTTTGGCCATATTAAATCTCTCTATTGCACTGAGCAAAATGCCGCAAAAATTTTTGCGTTTGGTTAAAACCGCGATTTTTTATGATATTTAAAAGTCAAGTTTAGTTTTCAAATGACCGAGTGAACCAGAGACTGGGGCCAGTGATGTCATTCCAGGCCATCAGCAGTGGGGCTCTGATCCAATCTCAGTCAAAATTATACGTTCCCAACAGGACGAAACCTTCGTTAAAGCCTGATCTGGTAAATTTTTATTATCTTTCTCTTACTTCGCTTGCTTTCAGCTGATTTCGTTTCCTCCGACATTCCACACGTGATCAGTCAGAAAGACACAAATTCCAACTCCATCTTTTCACAACCTTCGCTGCAAAGTCTTGCTAGTCAGAGCAGAAAACATGACTGAATAATCTTCTTCTCGGAAGTGGTTGGAACACATGGGTGAGTATTTTGTGGGCTTCCAATGTGCACGCTTCAATTGCACAAAGTCAACCCACTTCTTTCTTCTCTTTTTTTTCTCCAGGTCATCTGCCCCATAAAAAGGTATTGGAAGAAGTGCTATTCTTTTTTCTTTGTTGGGAGTGTTGCTACACCCGAAAACAACGCACTTATCAGGCATATCCGTCAAGATACTTCATCCAGTCCTTGAAGCAAACTCATTGGAAAGCCTGGAATGACGTCACAAACTGTGCTCGACCCAGACCCATCTTGATAATTCCGTGCCTAGGTTGTGTTTTCAAAAAAGGCGATTTTCCACGACTTTGAAAATTCATAAAAAATCAGGGTTTTAACTAAACACAAAAATTTTTGCAGCATTTTGCTCAGTGCATTAGAGAGATTTAATATGGTCAAATAAATTTTTTGGGGTTATAGGCACTTTAAACAATCCAGAGCATCTTCATTTGGAAATAATTTCCTTATTATTCCCATGACCTTTCGATTCATTTTTGCAAGGTAAGTTGTTTATAAGATCCCACGGATTTCTTCTATCCACAGGGGGCCCATACAATCTGTTTGTGTAGCCGATCGTTGTTTTATAGTGAATGTACCAGATTTACCGTTTGCCTCACCTTGAGTGATATATTGCTGAATAAGTACATAAATCATTGATAAATAAACCTTGAATTACTCTACCTGTGGTGCATAGTTGTCCTTTTGCCTCAAAAATGTTTTTTTTTAGCGATTTTGAATAAGTCTGATTTTGTCGCTAATGTAATGCATTAAAGAAAGACAAGGGTGGAAACCTTGTTTTCAAAGGGTTCAAGGGCCCAAGTGATTTTGACCCCGAAAATCACATTGCTCCGCTTTCAAACTTCGCAGCATTAAGGTCAAACGATGCACGATTCTCCTCATACCTTCCAATCGAAAATCCATCCAAATGGACCAGAGCTAGCCCTTGAAGAAAATCAAAATTGCACATTATTTTAGCATCTGGGATGTGTAGCAAGATTCTCATGTGCCAGCCAGAAACCGCCCTCCTCTGATTGGACAACATTAAATCATGACCAATTCAAAATATCTAATGAGGGTGGGAAACCATTACGTTTAGGGACCCTTCAACTGTTTACCCACCAGACTCGGGTCGTATGTCTTGATGTTCACCGGAAGCAACTTACATTTTCGCCCATTGTTCGCGTCTGCCAATGAATGAACAGGGAAACAGATTGTTTAGTATTCGAATATTCCAATCCCGGCTGATCAGTTAAAAGACTTTGAATGCACAGACTGATATTTTCACAGGGTAGAAGGAGTGGCACGGAAAAAAATTTACAGTCAAATGTATGGAAAATTAGAAAAATTAATTGAGCCTCTTCTATCCAACCTACATTCTTCAAACTTGGTGAATACAATCTTCTGCTCAGTGTTTTAATGATGCGATTCATAAATTGCGTAAAATTCGATTTTGGGAAAAGCTATTTGCCATGGGATTCCCATACGAACACTGTTATTTCTGACTGCTTTGCCTACCCGTAAAGATAGCGCCGAAAACCATGACAAGGCCTAGCTATTCATCGCCTGTCTGCGAGAAGTGCACATGGGAAAGTGCAGCGATATTTCCTATGCTTTCATCAAAAGCCTGGCTCGACCTCTTTCAGATGAAATGAAAGAAACAGTGACTCATATTTTCTTCTGGCGCTTACCAGTACAATTTTTTAATTCACAGGTGCTGCTTAAGTTGCCAGGTGACCTGTTTACTTTTCACGCAATTGATGAAGGAGATGCGAACAATAGGCGAAAATTTAAGTTGCTTCCGGTGAGCATCAAGACACTTGACCCAAGTCTGGTGGGTAAACAGTTGAAGGGTCACTAAACGCCAATGGTTCCCCACCCTCATTAGATATTTTGAATTGGTCATCGTTTAACGTTGTCCAATCAGAAAAGGGCAATCAACGTGACGGTTTCTGGCTGGCACATGAGAATCTTGCTATGCATCCCAGATGCTAAAATACTGTGGGATTTTGATTTTCTTCGAGAGCTAGCACTGGTCCGTTTGGATGGATTTTCGATTGGAAGGTACGAGGAGAATCGTGCATCTTTTGACCTTAATGCTGCAAAGTTTGAAAGCGGAGCAATGCGATTTTCGGGGTCAAAATCGCTCGGCCGCGTGAACCCTTTGAAAACAAGGTTTCCACTCTTGCCTTTCTTGAATGCATTACATTAACGAAGAAATCAGACTTATTCAAAATCGCTAAAAAAAAAACACACATTTTTGAGGCAAAAGGACGACTATGCACCACAGGCAAAGTAATTCAAGGTTTATTTATCAATGATTTATGTACATAGTCAGCAATATATCACTCTAGGTGAGGCAAACGGTAAATCTGGTACATTCACTATAAAACAACGATCGGCTACACAAACAGATTGTACGGGCCCCCTGTGTTCTACCTGAACTTCATGCGACAGTTTCTTGAATTTTCACCAAAAATCGAATACTCGCGATCCTTCCCGTAATAATTAGCAGCAAAGCCGCAAATATCGATCATTTAGCTTACATTAATTTGAGACTACGTATGATCAAAATTTATCGCAGGAAAACACACTTTTCGTGTAAATTAAGATGTAACATTGATTAAATGTGTTACATTTTTTCAATTACTTACATTTTTCGAGCTGCTGCCATGATGGTAATTTAAAAAGTGGAAGCACTAGCAATCGATCCCAAAAAAGGATTCTCCGTTCACTTTTGCCGCCATCTTAGATTTCTTCGCCTCGTCTCCATGTCAGGAAACACCAATGACTGCTGGCAAAATTCAGGAGACCACGTGGTTCGTCCTCTTTTAGTGGCAATCATGGCGGAACAGGTTTGTCTAACCAGCCATCTGACTTTCTTTCGCTACAAACACGCCTTTAAGTCAAATTTTAACGATTCCTGATATCATAAACTGTGAATTTTTATTTTATTTGTCCCTTTAAGACCCCATGATGAATTCAAAAAACGTGTTTGGCTATTTGTTCCTTTAAATAAGTAGAACATATTTTTCATCGGCATGGGTGCCGTAATTTACGTTTATGGCGATGATTTGCAGAAAGATCACTAATAAAAGGCGTTTAGCTTATTTCCATTGTTCTTATGTTTTTTAAATGCAGTAACAGGTTACCTTCGTATTTTTGGTTGAGTCGATCATTGTTTTTTCCGAAATGAAGTTTACTTACGATACCAACTCACGTTTCGATGGGCTGAAGAAAACACGTATACCTCGTAGCATTAAGTATAGATTTGCTCGAATTTGTTTTCTCTGTTTATAACTCTAAAAGAGTGGCATTGTTAAGAAACGCAAAGTTTTGTTCCGGTAATGATTACTCGTCACAAAAGTGTCGACGAAGTCAAAAGTTGCGTCTTACAAATTCGGTTGAGTTTTCGAGAACATGTACGTTTAAACCCACACCAAAGCGACCTTATCTTGGTATAACTTAAGGTGATATGAAACCTGTAAGCCATCCAGGGCTTTATATAAGAATCGTAGAGGCAGGAAAATACTATGTGGAGACCGAAGAAACCAGCCCCAATTCAAACCAGCTTGCAGCTGACTGAACTAGCTTTCATCAATATTATTAATAACTAAATATATAAATAAACTGTCTGATTATACAAAATTCAAAGAGTGGCAACTGTACTGCAACTGTAAATACTCTGCTTAAGATGTGGGAAAACATCAGAGTTGTCTGATGCTGTTGGTACTAGACAATGCTCCTTTAGTTAAACGATGTTTTGCATCTAAGCAGTTAGTAACTTGTGATAACATTTTGCAGACCGAGAGGGCCTATCAAAAGCAGGCACCAATTTTTCAAAACAAGAAACGCATTGTGGGTCAACCTGGCAAAAAGAAGGAACTTCGATTTGTGAGGAATGTTGGTCTGGGATTCAAAACTCCTAAAGAGGTAAGTGCACTTTTCTGGTGGGTGCTGGAGTAGTGAGATCCCTGAACCTCAGACTTGCTGGCAATATAGGCAGAAAAAGCTAGAAGTTGATTAAATCTTTTTTTTTAATTGTTTCCTCAGGGGTTACAAATGTTAAAGCTTGAAAGTATTTCTGTAAAGTGATTCTGAGTAATTTTCTGTGATCACTGAAATTATCTCCTATGAAAGGAAAACAAAAGTATTAAAAATTTGTCAGCTTAAAATAGTAAGAAAACAAGAGAAAAAAAGTATTGTTCAGTATTGAGAATACACCCGAGAAGTTTAAACTATGGACTTAAGTATTTATTTACTTTTATTGGAGACATAAAAATCTTGCAATGTAGTAAATGTACAGTTTCCTTGAAGAAAATTTTGTGATGACTTCAACAGTTTTGTGATTCTCTCAACAGGCCATTGAAGGAACTTACATTGACAAGAAGTGCCCCTTCACAGGAAATGTGAGCATCCGTGGTCGTATTCTGACGGGGATTGTTGCAAGCAAGAAAATGAAACATACAATTGTCATCAGACGTGATTAGCTTCATCACATCAAGAAGTACAACCGGTTTGAAAAACGCCACAAGAATCTTTCAGCCCATCTCTCACCTTGCTTCAGGTTCGTTTCACTTGTTTTAATCAAATGTTGAAATGCGATTGGTCATCAACCATGATGAAAATCTCAATTTTCAAAGTTTCATGGCATGTAAATTTGTCAGGAAATAAGTGTACTTTATGATCTTGTAGTGTCTTGTCAAAGGTGCATAATTTGAGACTTACCATATTTATCCGTGTATAATTCGACCCCGTGTACGAGTTGACCCCCATTTTCAAGGTCAAAAATCGGATTTTTCATAATTTCTAGTAAAGAGAAATTCAAACCGATAGAAATTTTGCAAGTGGCTGATCTCTCATTTCTGAGAATGTATTGAAAACACAATTAATTAAAAAAACTGCAGAGCAAAATGTAACCGTGTACTGTGAAGTTTAGTAGCACTTGTTTACATCACCACAATTCATGATTTAAGCATATACGAGCACTTTGATTGCCATCTTGGAAACTACACAAGGACATAATTGGTCCACATGCATAACAAACAAACCCTCGCGAGAAAACAGCATTTGCCCGGTCACTAAGCTACTGTAATCATGCGATGAAAACAAGAATTCAGCACTGAAAACAGGAGCGAAGCTGTAAGGAAAAATGTCTGCTCTACAGATCAGAAAATACAATAGAAATCAGCCCCACTAGGTTTCTGTTTAAGCCACGTAAAATTGATTATTTCTACATTTTTCATCTATGAAGAATGCGCTGAATACTGACGAAACTCGAACATAATTAGAACTGGTTTTGTGAACTCAGTTTTCCTAATGGACTTCAGGCGACTGTTATGCTAATTTCTTAGAATGCTTGGGTCAGGTCTTTGTCTTTGATCCGTGTATAAGTCAACGGTGATGTTTTGGGCTGAGTTTTTGGTCATAAAGGGTCGACTTACATGTATACACAGATAAATACGGTACATTTATCATTGAACACCGACACCATATCATGATGTGTATGTGATACACTGCACTAGTTTATTTAGTTAATGCATCACCAATTTAGTAGAGATTTTGTGTTGATCAGTATAAGTCTCCTTTCCAACCACATCCCCAATGCAATCTCATCTGCGTTTTTAGATGCATGTAGTTCTGTATAACATCACCCAGTCCCTGAAACATCTTGGCAGTAAAATTGCTGTATTTATGGATTCTGCAGTGTAATAATACAATGATTTTATTGTTTATTGTCATATGAAGAGTTTTGTGTGCTCAGGGCTGTCATTAGAAGCCTTTGGAAGCAGAAACCCCTCAGCTGTCAAACCATTTTGTGCCGGCTTCCTCGTAAATTGTGGTCCAGACTAAGAGTAATCCCTCCCTTTTGGCAAAGTCCATTGTGCAGAGATAGGGAGTGCTAGTGGTCTAATTGTAATCAGAGACAGAAAATAAGTATTTCTGAACTGGTGCTAACATCATTGTCTGGCTAAAAAAATTTCTTCAATATCCAAAATGCTACCATTCATGTCTCTTAGAGTTTCAAATTTCAAATTTTTCAGTGGGTAGCATGCCCCCAGACCTCCCCTCTCTTTAACAGGCCATGTTTGCCACACAAGCACAACTTTATTCAGCTGCCTTTTCAGCTCAGATCATGCATCTATCACATCTACTGATAACAACCGCGTGTGCTGTACTTGCTCTTTGCTGGTTTCCTTCTTAAGTGATGTATTTTTGTTCTTTCCTGGTAGGGATGTCAACCTTGGTGATGTGGTCACTGTTGGTCAGTGCCGTCCACTCAGTAAGACAGTACGTTTCAATGTACTGAAGGTCAGCAAAGGAAAAGCAAGCAAGGACAAAAAGCAATTTGAGAAATTCTGAATGCATGTTCCCTCTGCTAATAAAGTACTCGGATAAAAACTGATTTTTGTGTCACAATTTTTGTTCAGTGTTTGCAAAATTTGCTCCCCACTGGTTACTTTTTAATTCAGCTGGTTCCCAAGTTGTATTATGCATGGTGCACGGTAGCTTCCTGCGCAGATGTTTTTAGGCTCGTCACTTCACGCAATCATTCCATGGTGGGGAGGAATGACTGTTTGATGTGATGAGTCCAACAACGTCTGCATAGTAGGCTAGTTGACATAGTTACCCACATCTCCCTTTCCTTCTCCATCATATCCAGACACATGGTTGTTACTGGTGGTGCTTTATCGGTCGTGGGTGTTACAAGATAATTTGGTTTTATGAACTGAGTTGATATGTAGAAGTTGGCCTCTTTGATGATTGTTTAAAGCTTAAAGTTTGAGCCTTAGTCCATCGTCAGAGCAAAGGGCTAATACTCGAAACGTAAGCTTAAGAAACAATCAAAGAAAAAACTTAAAATATGTTATGGTGGGAAAGGATGATGCCAAATAAATTGAAGACTTTAGCCACGTGTTTTTATGAAACGTCGGCGCGGATCCTTTCTTTTTTTTTTTTCTTTTTTTTTTTTTTCAAGATTCCCCCATTCTACCAATTTTATTTGACTTCATTCACAGATAAACTTGAAAAGTCACCCAGCTATGATGAGTGTTGAATGAATATTCGAGATTAGATTAACGATTTCTCGGCTGCTGGGAAGATCCTTGTGAAAATAATAAATGAACAGCCGATTGTGAAAGATAAGTATGTGTAGCACATGTATCATTTTCGGTGGCAGGTTTGATGAACGATTTAAGTTGATAATTAACCATTATCTCACTAGTTTGACAAATTTACTCAGTTATGGTCAACATGAAGCGAGCCTTGTACATCAGCCCCGAATATTTGTCAAGGTCATTCCAAAGACGATTTTTTTTAAAGTTCTCTTTCACAAAATACTACGTATCGATAAATCTGTTTGTTAAAAGATCAGATTGCTTTCTTTTCAAAATTGGAGGTCTTTCAAAAGCTGATTGGCGATTCTTTGTCACCCCTTTGGAATGTAGCACGCAATATTTTTCTTTAACTGTTTGAAGCACACTGTCTTGATGCGAAAGACTGGGTCAGCGATTTAGCTGTGAACTTTCTTAAAAATAAAGACATAAAACCCCGAGTAAAGGCTGATCTTCTAAATGTCAGCTTTAAATTCTTTTTAGCCTTTCAGTTCTCGGTTTCCAAGTTTCTTTTGGTCAACTCACTTCGATCACCTGCTAGATCACCTGCTAGATCGAGAAATGTTTCTCAAGAGCATCCTCTCGAATTTCGGTAGAGAGCTAGATGACTTTACATGTTACAAAGCCATTCCATTCATTTCAAATAAGAACTTGATT